GGGGTCACCTTCCCTGGAAACCCAAGTCCCAAATGCGCCTCCAGCCCTCCCTGGTGCCCCCTTTCCCACCACCCTTCTTGCAGCACCTCCCTATCTGCAAGCCGAACCCCCATTCGCTCGGCATCCTTCCCAAGGGTCCTGCACCAGTGCCGGGGCTCCCGTGCCTGATCCTCTCTGCCCAGTGCCCAGATGCCGGTGCTGCCCCTGGGTATCTCTGCTTCCCCAGCCTCTGGCTTTAGACTCCCCCAGCAAGTACACCCCTCACATAATGAAGCTCCCTGCCGAGCTCGGCCCACCCCTCTCCGGCTGCCTCTCCCCGCTCCCTGTGCACACTGAGCTGGGGGCCCCCGTGAGGCCTGGGTCTGGACCCCGCAGCAGAGGAGGGTAGTTCCTGCTACTTCCCGACTGTATGGCCGGGTGAGTCCCAGCCTCTCTGGGACTGTTTCCTCATCTGTCCCAGGGGTAAAGCCCCCCCCTCACAGGGTTACTTGAGGTGACTGGTGCACCCCAGGTGAGAGGAAGTGCTGGGCGCCCAAGGGGCTGGCCTGGGGGGCCGGCTGGGCTCACCAGTGGGGGGTGGCAGCAGGCTCAGATTGTAGTGACACTGGTCTCCATAGAGCTTCCACTTCTCAAACAGGAAGTCCATCACCTGAGCGGCGGGGGCCTGTGGCTGGGGCACAGATGGACAGACAGACAGACAGGACAGACGGCATCAGGGCAGAAAGTCACGCCCCTCTGTGCTGGAGGGGACGGCCAGGAGTGGCGGACCCAGCACTCACCTGGCGGGCCAGCAGCAGGAGCAGCAGCAGGAGGTGGGGGTGGCGTGGCTGGGTAATGGGCATGCCTCTTGGCAGCTGCCCCCCACATCTGGCTGGGGTGCGCGTCTGGGCAAAGGGGTCCTCGTGGGTGTGCCCACTCCGGGGACCTGGGGGTCCCAGGAGTGAGCAGAGGGCTCTCCCCGCCGTCACTGCTCAGCCTCAGGGTTCTGTTGGTGAAGTGGGGGAGGAAGGGGGAGGCCTTGCCAGGACTGTAGGGTCCCTGCCATGTCCCCTGAGTGGGGTTGGATCCCCCAGCTGCTGCAGGCTGTCCAGTGGCCCTGACGGCTCCAGAAAGCCTCCCCTGTCTGCTGGCAGCAGCCACCCTCTTGCCTGGTCACCCACAGCTCCCAGAAGGGGACGCAGCCAGCACTACCCACCTCCTCGGCCGGGCCTCGCCACCCCCACTTACTCTTAGCTCTGGGAAAGGCTGCTTGCCAGGCTGACCCGACCTGGGGCACCAAGGGGGGCCCGGCCACCCACCACTGGCCGTGGTGGCATCTCCTGGTCCCCAGTGCCATGTTTGAGGAGGTGGCCCTGGGCCAGCTCCCCGTGTGCCATTAGCTGGCACAGGCTCAGGTAGTCTTCATCACTCCCTGCCCCCTTTTCCAGGATTGAGGTGTTTGGGTGCCCCCTC